AGAAGGAGGAAGCTGGGAAGCCTACAGAGAGTCCCTGAGTGCCAGGACCAGCTCCTAGTTCTGCACAGGTCCTAAAGAAGGGGTGAGTTAAGGAATTCTGGGAACCTCTGGAGGCCTAGCTATAAGGATTCTGGAATCCTAGCTATAAGAAATCCCATGACCTCCAAAGATGTTTGAATTGGCAGAGAAAATTGCCCTGCCAAGGGATCCTCTGCATTTGACCTATTGCATCAACAGGACACCTGTAGATATACCCCACAACTTGTTCTGACTCTGAACCAGTGGGTCCTCAGAGAGTTGCAAGTCTCCTGGCGATCTAGAATTCAGCTCAGGCTTCCCCCAAAAGAGAAAGTGGTGCAGCCCGCTAGGGACCCCATTGGGACTAAAGAAATGCAGGCACTGGAACAGTAATTAGAGGGGGCTCCCCCAAGGTGCTAGAATGTATTTGGTGAGGGAGTCATCACTTGCACCCACCCCTTTATTTTCTCCTCCCCAAAACACTGCTGTTAACAGAATGAAATATAAGAGACATGCATGGCTGAGTAAGATCCTATCTGCCAGCCCTTACTCTTAAGCACCATCCACTAGAATGCAGCCTAGATTACACCACCAAAACATAAATAAATTCCATGAGTATATATCACCTGTGAAACCCAATGCAAAAAACCATCCACAACTAAGGAATGCATAAAGAGCCTTGGCCTTCTGAAAGCACTTAGATAGAAGACCAATTAACTATACACAGTCAAACCCTCAAGTGAAAGAAATATAAAAACAAAAAGGTCCATTCAAATGACATCAACTTCAAAAAAAAAGAAGAAGAAGAAGTAAAGACACATCAGCCCTCTGAGGTGAGAAGAAATCAGTGCAATGACTCTCATAATTCAAAAAGTCAGAGTGTTTCCTTACGTTCAAAAGATCACACTACCTCCCCAGCAATACATCCTAACTAGATTAAAATGTGGAAATGACATGCATATAATTCAGAATCTGGATAGTAAAGAAGCTCAATGAGATTCCAGAAAAAGTTGAAACCAAATCCAAGGAAGCCAGTAAAATGATCTAAGAGTTGAAAGATGACATAGCCATTTTAAGAAAGAACAAAACTAAACTTCTAGAATTGAAAATTTTACTAAAGAAATCTCAAAATACAGTTGGAAGCTTTAATTACAGACTAGACCAAACTGAGGAAAGAATTTCGAAGCTTAGTCAGATAAAAATAAAGAAAAAATTTTAATAAACAAAGCCTCAAAGAAATATGGGGTCATGTAGAGACCAAACCTATGATTCATTGGCCTTCTTGAGAGGAAAGAGAGTAAGAAGCTTGGGAACATATTTGAGTGCCTAGTCCAGGAAAATTTCCCAAGTCTCACTAGAAAGGTCAACATGCAAACTCAAGAAACCTGAAGAACCTCTGTGAAACACTAAATAAGATCATTCTGAAGACACATTGTAATCAGACTTTCCTAGGTCAATGAAGAAGGAAAAATCAAAAAGGTAGGTAGAAAAAAGGGTCAGATTACTTCAAAAGGCAACCCCAGCAGACTACCAGCAGACTTCTCAGTAGGTTTCTACTTTTCAAGCAAAAAAGATTGGGAGCATATTTTCAGCATCCCTAAAAAAAATGAAATTCCAACCAAGAATTTCAAATCCTGCCAAACTAAGCTTCATAAGTAAAGGAGAAATAAAATGTTTTCTGGATAAGCAAACACTAAGGGAATTTTTTACCAGTAGCCCAGCTATAAATAAGACCTTTAAGGGAGTCCTAAACATGGAAAAAAAAATACCTGCTACCATAAAAATATATGTAAGTACAGAGCCCACAGACCCTATAAAGAAACAACACAATTGAGAATACAGAGCAACAAGCTAATAACATGACAGGATGAAAACATCACATATCAATATTGACCTTGAATGTAAATGATATAAATGCCCCACCTAAAACGTTTAGAGAGCAAGTAGAATTAAAACAAAAACAAAACAGGACCCAACTGTCTTCTCTCTTTAAGAAACCAACTGTCTCTCTCTTCAAGAGAACAGCCATAGATTCAAAGTAAAGGGATGGAGAAGCATCTGTGTATTAGTCTGTTCTCATATTGCTATGAAGAAATACCTGAGACTGGGTAATTTATAAATAAAAGGGATTTAATTGGTTTACAGTTCTACAGGCTGCACATGAAGCATAGAGGCTTCTGCTTCTGGGGAGGTCTCAGGGAGTTTCCAATCATGGCAGAAGGCAAATGGGGAGCAGGCGTCTTATATGGCAGGAGCAAGAGCAGGGAAAGGGAGGTGCTATACACTTTTAAACAATCGGATCTCATGAGAACGACTCACTATTGCAAGGACAGTACCAAAAGAATGGTACTAAACTATTCATAAGAAATACACCCCCATGCTCTAGTCACTACTCCTCAGGCCCCACCTCCAACATTAGGGGTTACAATTCAATATGAGATTTGGAAAGAAGCACATATCCAAACTATATCAGTCTGTCACACAAATGGAAAACAAAAAAGAGCAGTGATTGATATTCTTTTATAAGATAAAACAGACTTTAAACCATCTACAGTTAAAAAAAAGAACAAAGAAGGGAATTACATGATGATAAAGATATAGATTCAACAAGAAGACTTAACTATCTAAAATATCCATGCACCCAACATCAGAGCACCCAGATTCATAGTACAACTACCCATAAACCTAAAAAAGACTTAGAGAGTCACATAATAATAAAGGAGGACCACTGACAGCATTAGACAGATCATTGAGGCAGAACTCTAACAAAGAAATTCTGGACTTAAATTTGACACCTGACTAACTGGATCTAATAAATATCTACAGAATTCTCCACTCATCAACCACAGAATATACATTCATCTCATCTGCAAACAGGACATACTGCAAGATTGATCACATGCTCAGCCATAAAGCAAGGTTCAGCTTTAAAAAATGAAATCATGCCAACCATACTCTTGGACCACAATGCAATAAAAACAAATCAATACCAATTAAATATCTCAAAACCACACAATTACATTAAAATTAGACAGCTTGTTCCTGGATGACTTTTGGAGCATTGGTGGTATAGTGGTGAGCATAACTGCCTTCCTGGATGACTTCTGGGTAACAACAAAATCAAGGCAAAAAAATAGAAAATTATTTGAAATTAATAAAAACAGAGATACAACATACCAAAATCTCTGGGATACAGCAAAAGCAGTATTAAGAGGAACATTTAGAATGCAATATGCCTACATCAAAAAGTTAGAAAGATCTAAAATTAACAATCGAACACTGCACCTACAGGAACTAGAAAAAAACAGAACTAACTCAAAGCTAATAGAAAAATATAAGCAACTAAAATCAGAGCAAAACTGAATGAAATTGAAAAGCGGAAAATCCACAAAAAGCATCAGCAAAACCAAAAGTTGGTCTTTGAAACAATAAACAAGATCCATACACTGCTAGTTAGATTAACAAAGAAAAAAAAAGAAGATCCAACAAGCACAATAAAAAATGACAAAGGTGACATTATAAACAATCTCACAGAAATACAAAAGATCCTCAGAAACTATTATGAACACTCTCTGTACACACAAACTAGAAAATCTAGAGGAAGTGGATACATTCCTGGAAACACACAAATTTCCAAGATTGAAACAGGAAGAAACTAAAACTCTGTCCTGACAATAACGAGTTCCAAAATTGAATCAGTAATAAAAATTCTACCAACCAATAAAAGCCCGGAACCAGATGGATTTACAGCTGAATTCTACTAGGAATACAAAAAAAGAGCTGCTACCAATCCTACTGAAAACTATTTGAAAAAACAGGAGGAGAAACTCCTCCCTAACTCATTGTAAAAAGCCAGCATCATCTTCATAATACCAAAACCTGGCAAAGACATGATGAAAAAATAAAACTATAGGCCAACATCCTTAATGAACATGGATGCAAAAATCCCCAACAAAATACTAGCAAACTGAATTAAGTAGCACATTAAAAAGTTATTTCACCATGATCAAGTAAGCTTCATCCCTGGAATGCAAGAGTGGTTTGATATATGCAAATCAATAAATGTGATTTACCATATAAACAGAATTAAAAACAAAACCATATATCATCTTAATGGATGCAGAAAAAGATTTTGACAAAATCCAACATCCCTTCATGTTAAAAAACCTAGTGAGCATATCTCAAAATAAGAATAGCCATCTATGACAAACTCACAGCTGATATCATACTGAATGAACAAAAGTGGGAAGCATTCCCCCTTAAAAACTGGAACAAGTGAAAGATGCCCACTCTCACCATCCATTTTCAACACAGTACTGGAAGTTCTAGCTAGAGTATTCAGGCAAGCAAAAGAAATAAAAGACATCCAAATAGAAAAAGAAATCAAATTATGTCTCTTCAGAGATGATACAATTCTATACCTAGAAAACTCTAAAGTCTCAGCCAAAAGGTTTCTAGAACAGATAAACTTAAGCAAAGTTTCAGAATACAAAATAATGTATTAAAATCAATAGCATTTCTATACACCAATAACACTCAAACTGACATCCAAATCAAGAACACAATCCTACTTATTAATACAATAGCCACACACAAAAATAAAAGACGTAGGAATACATCTAACCAAGGAGGTAAAAGATCTCTACAAGAGATCTACAAAGCACTGTTCAAAGAAACCAGAAACAACACAAAAAAATAAAAAATATCTTCCCTGCTCACGGATAGAAAGAACCAATATTATTAAAACAGCCACACTGCCCAAAGCAATCTATACATTCCATGCTATTCCTATCAAACTACCATCGTTTTTCACAGAATTAGATAAAAAATTTTCTGAAAGTCACATAAAACCAAAAAAGCCCAAATAGCTGAAGCAATCCTAAGCAAAAAGAACAACGCCAGAGGCATCACACTACCCAACTTCAAACTATACTACAACACTACAGTAACCAAAACAACATGGTACCAGTATAAAAATAGACACATAGTCACCTGAGGTCAAGAGTTCAAGACCAGCGTGGCCAACATGGTAAAAGCCCAGCTCTATTAAAAATACAAAAATTAGATGGGCATGTTGGCACATGGCTCTAATTCCAGCTACTCGGGAGGCTAAGGCAGGAGACTCACTTGACCAGAGAGGTGGAGGTTGCAGTGAACCAAAGTTGCACCACTATACTCCAGCCTGGGGGACAAGAGCAAAACTCTTTTCTAAAAAAAAAAAAAAAAAAAAAAAAAAAAGACATGTAGATTAACGGGACAGAATAGAGAACAGAAATAAAGCTACACACCTACAGCCATCTGATCTTTGACAAAGTCAACAAAAACATGCAATGGGAAAGGACTCCCTGTTTAACAAATGATGCTGAGATAACTGGCTATCCATATGCAGAAGAATAAGACTGGAGCCCTGCCTCTATCATCACAGTTTTAAAATTGTAAGAAATAAATTTGTTGTTTATGTTAAAAATTTTTAAAAAGAAAAATAAAAGATGGATTAAAGACTTAAATGTGGGTGGGCACGGTGGTTCACACCTGTAATCCCAGCACTTTGGGAGGCCGAGGCAGGCGGATCACAAGGTTAGGAGATCGAGACCATCCTGGCTAACATGGTGAAACCCAGTCTCTACTAAAAATACCAAAAATTAGCCAGGTGTGGTGGCGGGCACCTGTCATCTCAGCTACTCAGGAAGCTGAGGCAGGAGAATCACTTGAGCCCGGGAGGTGGAGGTTGCAGTGAGCCAAGATTGCACCACTGCACTCCAGCCTGGGCGACAGAGCACTCCATCTCAAAAAAAAAATAAAAAAGACTTAAATGCAAAACCTAACACTAAAAAAAAATTCTAGAAGAAAAGCTAGAAAACATCTTTTTAGACAACAGCCTTGGAAAAGAATTTATGACTAAGTCCTGCAATTGCAACAAAATGAAAAAGTGGAACCTAATTAAACTAAAGTGCTTCTGCAAAGCAAAAAAAAACTATCAACAGAATAAAAAGGCAACCTATAGAGTGGGTGATAATATTCACAAATAGGCATTCAACAAAGGTCTAATATCCAGACTCTATATGGAACTTAAATTCATCAAGCAAAAAACAAATAACCCCATTAAAAAGTGGACAAAGGACATAAACAGACACTTCTCAAAAGAAGGTATACAAGTGGCCACCAAACATACAAAAAAATGTTAATCAAAGCCATGTGATACCATCTCACATAAGTCAGAATGGCTAATAAAAAGTCAAAAAAATAACAGATGTTGGTGACGGCTACAGAGAAAAGTAAATGCTTATACACTGTTTGTGGGAATGTAAATTAGTTTACCCACTGCGAAAAGCAGTTTGGAGATTTCTCAAAGTACTAAATTACCATTAGACCAGCAATCCCAATACTAGGGATATACTCAAAGGACAATTAATCATTCTACCAAAAAGACACACTCAGATGTTCATCACAGCACTATTCACAATAGCAAAGACATAGATTCAACCTAGGTGCCCATCAAAAGTGAACTGGATAAAGAAAATGTGGTATATATACACAATGGAATACAGCATACAAATAAAAAAGAACAAAGTCACATTCATTGCAGCAACATGACTGCAGCTGGAGACCAATGTCCTAAGTGAACTAATGCAGAAACAGCAAACCAAATACTGCATGTTCTCACTTATAAGTAGGTGCTAAACACAGAATACACATCGGCATAAAAATAGTGACAAAAGAGTATGGAAAAAGGGAGAATGGCAAGGGTTGAAACACTAATCATTGGGTACTATGCTCACTATGCAGGTAATAGGTTTAATTGTATCCCAAACCTCAGTATTACACAATATATCCTTGTAACAAACCTGCACATATACCTCTTGAATCTAAAATAGAAGTTGGTGGAAAAAGAGCTTACAGAGCTCCAAAAAAATGAATGAAAAAGTACACCACAAACTGGGAGAAAATATCTGGCAAACAACGTCCCACAAAAGATTTATACCTAGAATATTTAAAGAAGTTTTACAATTTGATAGAAGGACAAACAAAAGATTGAACTGAACAGGAATTTCACCAAAGAAGATTTACACATGAGTAATAAGCACATAAGAAGATGTTTAACATCATTAGTTATTAAAGAAATAGAAATTAAAACCAAATTGAGATATTGCTACATACTTACTAGAATGGCTGAAATTTAAAAAGCTAGCCATAAAAAGGCTATTGGCAAGGATGTGGACCACTGAAACCCTCATTCACAGATAGTGGGGATGTAAAATGGCACAACTACTTTGGAAAAATCTTTGGTGATTTCTTGAAAAGGTAAACATACATCTACCATGTGACTCAGTCACTGCACTCCTAAACATTTGCTTAAGTTAAACTAAAGTGTCTGTCTACACAAAGACTTATATATGAATACTCATGACAGTTATACTCGTTAATAGCCTAAAACTGGAAACAACCCAAGCATCTATCAGCAGGTAAATGGATAAACAAATAATTTTATCCATAGAATGGAATACTATTACACAATATTTAAAGCTATTGATAAATGCAACAACATGGATGAATCTCAAAATAATTATGCTGAGTGAAAAAGAGCTACAAAAAAGCACATGTTATATGATTCCATGTCTATAAAATTCTAGAAATGTAAATTAATCTACAGTGACATAAAGCAGATCAATAGTTACCTGTGGAAGGGAGGAAAAGAGACACAGGAGGAAAAAAGGGAAAGATTGCAAAGCAGCAGGAAAAAAATTTAGGGAGAGATTGATACATTTACTATCTTGACTATGGTTGATGGTTTCACCATCAATATATTTCAAAACTCATCAAATTGTACACTTAAAATGCATGCACTCTACCTTGGAGGCTGAGACAGGGGGATCTTATGAGCCTAAGAGTTAGAAGGTACCCTGGGCAACACAGCAAAACCCTGTCATCACTAAAATATGTATGTATAATGCATTTTATTATACATATATTAAAGCTCAATAAATCTATTTTAAGGCCTTGGTAATTAAAACACTGATGTTGTAAAATAAATAGAAAGAAATAAAAATCCAAAAATAGATCCAAATACATAAAAGAAAGTATTCTGTGAAAAAAGAATGTATTCTCCTAACTCAAACAAGTTAGGAGACTTCCTAGCCAAGACTTGCTTTTGGAAAATCTGGATAAACATCCAGGAAAAATTAAATAAGATCCATACCTCACATTGTATCATTATATTCCAGATGCATATATTCTAAATAGATCAAAGACTTGCTTTTAGAAAGTGCAACCATGTGAGAATTCCTTTTTAACCTTGGGCCCCGGAGCTAACTATGACTGAGTCAATTAAAAAAAAACGTATAAATCTGACAACAGTGAAAATCTTCTCCATGGCAAAAATATACCATAAGAAAATTCAAAAGACAATAATCTCGAAAAAGAATAATTACAAGAAATATTACAAAGAGTTAATCTACTCAATATTTTGAAAGCTCCTAAAGAAGTCCAATAACTCAAAAGAAAATGGGTAAAGAATGTGAACAGATATGCCTATGTACAAAGATGCTTAACCTTTCTAATAAAAAATGCAAATTAAAATCACATGAGGTATTATCTCTTGCCTAACAGGTTAGAAAAACAATCAAAGTTAAAGACACTGTTGGTTAAGCTTCAGGATGCAGGTATTCTCATACACTGTGAGAATGTAAATCAGTAGCACCATTTTGAAGGAGACTTTGGCAATACCTGTACAAATTACAAATGCATATGCCCTTTAACCCCAAAGTTTCACTTCTGAGAATTTATCCTACAAGCAACACTTGCATGCCTGTGAAGTCACATATATACATGTGTAGGTATGTGTACATATACATAAATGTATGCATATATATGTCTGTGTGTGTATATGTAACTATTACTTACATATTCTGTGTAATGGCAAAAGATTGAAAATAACTAAAATGTCCATCAGTAAAGGACTGGGAAAATAAATTTTGATATATCTATATAATTGAACATTATAAATCTGTTTTAAAAAAAATAAGGCAGATCTCTATATACTGAAGTGGAAAGATCTCCACTTGTTAAGTGAAAAAGATCTCTCATAATGTTAAGTGAAAATAGCAAGCTACAGAGGAGTTGAATAGTTGTTACTTTTCTGTAAAATGATGGAGGTAATAAGAATCTATATTTATGTTTTCTTATAATATTCCTTATGTATATAAGGAATCTCTGGAAAAATACATAAGAAACACATAACTGATTACCCTGATGGATGGGTGAGGTTGTACAAATGAGGGCAGAGAAGTCAAGGGAAACTTCGCTGCATACTTCATACAAAATTTTTCAGATCTGTTTATATATCTGTCTCTCTCCAGAAAATTACATGCTATCCCCCATGGGGTCAGTCATTTAGTTGTAATGTTTAATATAATGTTTATGTTTATATTTATAATGTTATGTTTATCTCCAGTGCCTCAAATGGTTCCTAGAAAATGGTAGAACTTTTGTAAAACTTATTTTTGTTGATAGAAGTGCACATTTGAAAAAATTTGAGACTATTGTACTAAATTATGTCTAGATTTCCTTACAGCTCTAGAGTAGGTTTCAGCAAAATTTTTCTATAAAGAGCCAGATACTAAATATTTTAAGGTTTGTTGGCCATATGGTCTCTGTCACAGTTACTCAACTCTGCTTTTATGGCACAAAAGCAGCCACGGACAATAAGTAAACAAGTGGGTGTGACTGTGTTCTAATAAAATATTATTTATAACAACAGGTGGCCAGCCAGATTTGGTCCAAGGGCTGTAGTTTGCTCAACTTTGTTGTAGAATTTTGTTTCTCTGATTATCCATCAGTTGAACCTGTAAAGGTATGTAAGATTTCTACCTTTCAAAATAAAAATTTGAATGAATGAATGAATGAATGAATGTTAACCAACTTTTCCATAAGGAAGAGTTATTTATATCCTTCTTCAATTTTTTTTGAGATGGAGTCTTGCTCTGTTGCCCAGGCTGGAGTGCAGTGGCGTTCCTACTCATTATCCTGCCCAAATTATCAAAATTATTTTAAAATTATTGCTAATTATAATTATTAAAATTATTTTAGTGTGTGCTTGGTCCTGCCATGATTGTGAGAAAAGCACAGACACATCAG